CTCAATAATAATAATAACAATGAATGGATGAACCAGAATCAATGTCCGAAGTTCCCCCTTACTGCTGACTCAACTCACAASAACAACAACAACAAGAAAGTCCACCATGGCCATGGCTTCCCTCCTTCATCCTCCTCTCTCATGCATAGGCCATGGCGGACTACCAGGAGGCAGCTATGATGCTGCGCTGATGTCCCAAGACAACCCAAAGCAGCTATGCCGCTGCTTGACTTGGTCCGCTATGCCTGACTCTGCCTTGAGCTGCTCTGGTGCAGCGCTATCCCAACTGGGGCCTTCCTGATGCAGCGCCCAACAAGGTGATGAAGACGGTGTCCACCATAGCCAGGTAAGTGCCCTACCACTCCTACCATGCCCCCTTCTTCCTCCTACTCAAGCTGGGGTGCTCGCCATAGCCAGGCTGAGCCCCAGCGGACCTTCACCTCCAAGCAGCGCTGCTTCAGTCCAGCGCTGTGCTCCAGCAGCATGTCGCCAATCCTTGCATACCGCAAATGAGGAAGAGCTCTCCGCTCTTCCTGAAGATATAGCGGCCTACCGGCCTCCTGGGCGGTGACTTCCTAGGCCAAGCGGCCTCCCAGCAACCGGTACCTCCTCCCTTTTGGAGGGAAACATCATTGCAGGCTCTGTTATTGTCCGCACAGGCCCTAGACCGGGCTACTTGGACTGGTACCGGCCTACCTCCAACCTACCGCTACTGGGCCTCTAAAAATGCCAACTTTTTGTCTTCTTCTGCTCGGCCTACCTGCTACTTGAGTGTTTTTCCCCAGCTGCTCTAAGTGCCGTGGGCCTACTCCCCGCTACCGGCGTGTTTACCCCCCTGCAACCCTTCAAAGTCACGGCCACAGGTAAGTACCGGCCCGGTGGGCCTTGCAACCAACTAGTACCCTTGCGGGTCACACACACATACCCAACCAGCAAGCACTCAGACAGGCATGCAAACCAGCAGGCACGCACACACACACAACCGGCAAGCACTCAGGCAGGCATGCAAACCAGCAGGCACGCATACACACAGACTTGGGACCACAGCAGAATGCGGGAATCACAGCAAGGCATTCATTCCATTGGCAAATCCCAGAAATCAGCAGTGTTCCCAGTCTGTGTTTTTGGCGGGTCATTACATTACTCCCCTCTCGAGAGCGAGGTCCCTTCGAGCGACTCAGTCAGAGTCGGTACAGAACCCATCGTAGGAGTACATCAGAAAGAGAGACTTGGTCAATCCATGAAAAGTCGTTGTTGCTACGAACTTAGCGGTCTGCCCCTCGGTGATCTGTCTTTCGTAAGCGTTCACAACACGGGGAGCACTTTTTAGCATTTCTTTCCGGTCGATCCAGAAGAATTCAGTCAATGGGTGATAGAGGAAGTGAACCTTATTATGTCTGTTCCTCCCTCTGCCCTCGTGAGATACGATTTTGTCTATCTCATGGCCGCCGTCGATAGGGCGAGGTATCATAGGATCTCGGAAGGGAAACGTCTCATCATCAATGTGTGGGAACAGTTTGGACGCATGAAAGACCGGATACGTGCGCAGATGAGGACGCACGTCAATCACAAATGAAGGACCAAAATCATCCCCGACTACCTTCAGAATCTGCCAAGGGCCGCAGTATAATGGAAGAAGCTTCCGTGAGATGCCCTTTTCGTCAGAAAACTCAGACATTTTGACCCAAACGTAATCCCCAACTTTGAATTTTTTCTTCTTTGCGCAGCTTGTTGGCATGTTTGATCATGGCATGCTGACGCTTGTTCATGACTGCAGTAACAGTTTTGAGCAAGCGTGCGTACTTGGCATTATAGCCAGGCATGCCGGGCATCAGACCAGGTGACCGCTCGGGGAACAGATAGGAGAGGGGATTGCGCATCGACCATCCATACTGCAACTGGTTTGGGGTCACACCAGTTGCAGAGTGAATGGAGTTGTTGTACAACCCCTTCACTTTGTGTAATTCCTTGTCCCGCGTGTTCTGATCTAGAACAATCAGTGCGCGTAGCAGTTGGATGACGGTCTGGCTGATCTCCTCGGCCAATCCGTTGGCTTCGGGGTGTCGACCAGAAGTCCTGTTCAGTTTGATGTCATAGATCTGAGACGTGAAGTCTTTCCAATCTTTGCTGATGAATCTGGTGTCCCGATTGCTCACAATGGTTTTCGGGACGCCGGACTGCAGAATGTACTGCTGATGGAATTCCTCGATGACAAGTTCAATCGGGGCATGAGGAGGGAGAGGAATCAAGTTCAGAAATTTGGAGAAGCGGTCCACAATGACCATGACTTGTGAATTCCCAGCCTCACTCACCTTTCCCATGTCCGTGAAGTTGATGGAAATCGACTCACCGGGTCCATCAGGAATGGGGAGAGGTCTCAGTAGGCCATAAGGCTTATGCCTGTGGACCTTGATTTTTTGACATACCTGACATTCAGCAATGAATTTCTGAGCAGATCCCTTCATTCCTGGCCAATCAAATTGCTGCAGAAGACTTCCATAAGTTTTCTCAAAGCCAAAATGTCCACCCCGACCATGCACTAAATCCAAGAAATGAGTTCGGAGAGGCGCATGGTTGGGTACACACAAACGATCGAACTTTCCATACCGGCGGAACACAAGACCCTCGCATTCGTGAAAATCAGGCTGACTGTTAGGGTCGGCCTTGAGCTGCTCAAGGATGGGATTGAGGTCCGGATCCTTGGCGGTGTGTTCAATCAGATCCTCCTTCAGTTTCCTTCGGAGGTCGTATGAACCCACAAGGCAAGTCAAATACTCGGGATGGCGTGACAAAGCATCAGCGACACGGTTATAACAGCCTTTCTTATGTTTCAACTCAAAATTGTAGACATCAATGTCATGCAACCAGCGGGTCGATGTAGGAGAGAGTTCAAATTGTGTCTGAATCCACTGCAAGGTCTGATGATCAGAGTAGACCTTGAAGTGGCGACCCAAGAGGTAGTGCTTCCAATGTGCGAGGGCTTCGCGCAGGGCGTAAAGCTCACGCATATACGTGGAAGTAGCTACCTTGTGGCTGGGCATGCGTTTGCTGTAATACTCGAGCGGACGCAGGCCATCACCATCGTCTTGTTGCAGCACTGCACCAATCCCGAACTGGCTCGCATCCGTAGTAACTACGAACGTGAGGTTGGGGTCTGCAATGCGAAGCACATGATGACTCACTAATGCCTCTTTCAAGGCTTGGAACGCAGACTCACACTTCTCACACCATGCATAGGTAACATTCTTGCTGGTTAGTCTTGAGAGCGGGTGAGCAATTGTAGAAAATCTGGGTACAAATTTCCGGTAATAAGAAGCCAAACCGAGAAAAGAACGCAGTTCGCGTACGTTCGCCGGTTGAGGCCAGTTTTGAATGACCTCAACCTTGGTTGCCTCCGGCTCAAGGCCGTTTGCAGACAACCGGTGCCCAAGATAGCTGACACTGTCCCTGGCAAACTCAGATTTTTCTAAGTTGAGGTGCAGTTGAGCGTCTTTGAGGACTTGCAAAACCTCCTCAAGATGCTTGACGTGCTCATCCATGGACTTGCTGAAAATCAGAATGTCGTCAAGGTACACAACCACAAACTTGTTAAGCTGATGGCGGAGTACCTTGTCCATGAGGCACTGAAATGTGGCTGGCGCATTCGTCAGTCCGAAGGGCATAACGATGAACTCGTACAGCCCATCGCGTGTCTTGAACGCAGTTTTGTGTTGGTCGCTCGGATCAACTTCAATCTGGTGGTAGCCAGACTTGAGGGTGATCTTGGAGAAAACCTTGCACCCACCTACCGCATCTAGCAGATCATCAATGCGAGGCAAAGGATACGCATTCTTTCGGGTGATTCGATTCAGGCCACGATAATCAATACACATCTGGAGTTTGCCTCCTTTCTTTGGTACAAACAAAACAGGTGCGCCAAACTCAGACTCGCTAGGCCTAATCCATCCACAATCAATCATGTCATCGATTTGTCTCCGCAGCTCCTCCAACTCGCCTTGTCCCATACGGTAGACGCAGCCCTTTGGAGGAACACTCCCTTCTACTATCTCGATCTTGTGTTTGACTGGACGCTCGGGTACTCCGCGAGGTTCAGCCAAAACTTCAGGAAATCGATCTAATAGAAGGCGAATGTTCGCTGGGATTTCCGGTGGCGGATCATCCTCGTCAGGGGAGAGAAAATCAGATCGAGAATTTACGGTAATCACAACCGGTTTCGAAGTATTTGGATCAGAAATAGATTGATCATTTACAGTAGAAGTAGGTGGAATAGAAGTAGAAGTAGTAGAGGTAGAGTTACCTTCAGAGGTAGAAAATGCAGCATGGAGAGGCTTTACAAGAGCTATATGTACAAACTTAGCTTCCTTGCGCCTGCGCACTGACCTACAAAATTTGTTAGCACTGAGAAGGGTCACAGGGGACTCGCGCGTCTCATCTAATAAGACAGTACGCTCGTTCCCCTTGGCGTCAAGTTCCACGAACTGGTTGTCTGCCCACGTGGTCCTTAGGCAATGAGCCTTTCGCCAGCCCAAGCCAATGACCGCGTCGAAAGGACACTTGTCCAGGACGTAAAAATTCAGCTCATGTGTGACAGTGCGATCTTTGTCAAAGGTGATGCGCACACCTTTGACAGCATGAGTGGAAGTGACAACCTCTTGGTTGCCCACCTGAGTCCGGCAAGGGTTCTGCAGTTCCACTTGCTTCATACCCAGGCCCGCCTTACGAATCACGTTCGGAGAGTAGAAATTAGTGGTCGAACCACTGTCAATCAGCACACGGATGTATCGGCGGTTAATGAGTAGTTTAAAGAAAGTCAGTTCCACGCTCCCTTGAACATGGCGTTGCTGGTTGAGCCGCAGCCAATGCTCCATGTGGGCGTGGAGGTCCACCTCTTTAGACTCCTCCCAAGGCTCAGCGTATAACACTTGGACTGCATCAGCCTTGGATTCAGCATTAGTTTGGGCTTCAAGAGCACGCTGCTGATCAGATCCAGGCTCCTCGGAAGGGCCTGCAACTGACTGCCCAGCTTCCCTTGCTGTAGGGAGTACTGATGACTCCTCTACGCCCCTTGCCTGTTTCCCTGAAGACGATAGCAATCCTGCACAGCATGCCCAGGCTTTGAACAATGCAAGCATACGCGCAGTTTGGACCTTCTTTCCCATTCTTTTTGGCTGATGAGGAGGGCTTCCCAAGGCTTGGTAGAAGCGTCCTCCGGCTTCTCATGGATCTTAGCATTTTTGGGAAGGTGTAAGACAGTTCCCTTACCTGAACCACGGTTAGGCCCCTTATTTGAAGCAGTCTTTCTGAATGCATTAAGTTTCTCATCATCATTTCTTTCACACTCAATGACTAATGTGGAACAGCCCGTATCGGAGTCCGGTTCTAGATCGTCATCTAGATACAGATCATCCGCATAGGACTGATCGTCAGCCTCCCGATGTTCATGCAGTGCAAGCTGGTTGCTGCTTCCAAACCGCTTGCGTTGTGGTTTCCCACCTGCAGCGGGCGCCTTCTTGCGCCTGGCGAGGTCCTTGGCCTCTAGGTCGACTAGGTCCTTCATGAGCTCTCGCCAGGTGGCATGGTCCGGAGTGGTGAACAGACTAGTCAAGTGTTGTTCCAAAGCCTGCATGGATGACCTCCATGTTTGGCCCTTGAGGGCCTCAAGCTTCAGCCTAACCTTGAGCGCAACATGTTTACAGGTCAAGGAGAAGATCCTCAAGAACGCGGACAGGGGTGACCTTCAGCCAGTCAGTCAGGTCTATGCGTGCATAGCCTGCAGCAACAACTTGAAGCTCAATGTGGTTTCGTATGGATGGCTCGGTATTAGTTCCCATGATGATACTTCGGTCCTCTTGCGGTGTCCGCATGACCTCGAAGTACGACCGCATGGAACTAATCCAAGAGGTGATGTCTGCCTTCCCCTCGTACTTGGACGGCAGCGTGGCCGCCCGCTTGTCCACCATGGGACCGCTGTACTGAACGCCAGTAAGGACTGTGGCGTTTTGGGTTGAAGTCCCTGCATTCGGGACCGTGACCACGCAGAACTGCGGATGCTGCCGCTCGAGGAGCTGGCGCCAGTTCCTGCGCTTGTCACAGTTCCGCTTGCCCTTGGCACGAGGGCTGTGTTGGCTTTAGAGGTTGGGATTATAGCAGATCGAGGGTTAGGAGGGCGGGAGGCAGACAACTGGGACTGTTCAAGGCTAATTACTTCAGCCTGCAGCTCTTCGTTCCGCTGCTCAAGTGCTGTCATACGAGACTCAAGGTTTTCCAAGGTCCGTAGTCGAACCAGGGCTGCTACAGCAGCAGCTAGTTCCTCCTGGAACCGGTCAGCATTGGCTTCCGGGATCCGAAGGAGAGCCACCTGATCAGCAATGTCGGCGGCTCTAGCTGCTGCCGCTGCCGCTGCCTCCCTTTCCCTCTGCACGACATCATCATATAGTTTTTGAAAGAATGGTTTCTGGCTCTCGTCTGCTGCGTCCAGCATGGCCTGCCATTGGTCAGATGTGATGACCGCCATGCTGGAGGAAGGGGTGTCAGTAGAACTCTCAAGAGGGGTCCGCTCTCTCCTTACGTTTGGACGAACACTCCTCTTGCCCCTCCTCACACTCTCAAACATAACACCTTCTCTCTCTCTTTCTTCCCTTTTCGCTGTCTGCGCACGCGTCTCAATACTGGACATAGATATTTCAGATGAAAGAAACAAACTGAAAACCACTCAGAGAGGAAGGTAGAACTCCTAGCCGGAGTGGCAAATCATTTTGACTTAGAGCGTGGCACGCAGCAGAAGAAAAAAAATAAAAATAAAAAAAAATAAAAAAACAGCAGAGAGGTCTGATTTATAGAACGGCCCGATCAGATCAGTTGGAGATCCCCTCTTGTCTAACCTGACAGGGGACATGCATCACAATAAATCAGACAAAGAAGACTAATCTGCAGCAATGGAGATTTAGAGGGGTGCAGATGGTCGTCGAGTCAGACGCGGGGCAGTATGTGCTTACATGCGGTAAGGCCAGTCAAGATCCCCTTGAAAGGACTGCCCTTGTTGTCTGTATGTCCCCCAAATCCAGCACAGCAAAGCAATGCACTGGCGGCAACAGAGCTGGGCCCAAAAGGTCCTGTCCCGTTGGGCCTGGTCCCACTGGGTCCCGAGTGGTCCCAAGTAGGTCGTGGACCAGGTCTAACGAGACAGGGGTACCAAGTCAATCCCAAACTGTCTCTACCGTACTGAAAAGGAAAAGACAACTTTCAGCAAGAACTTGCCCCTACAGCCGTTCAGAATTGAAAAGACAATGCACTGTAGAAAGATATGTCATTTAGCACAGATACATCATCCATCCATCCATCAGGTGAGAAAGCAATCCACATGCTCACACACACAACCAAGACCGCAGAGAAGAGGAAGAGAACCCAGCACACCCCCAACAGGCCATGAAGCACCAAGCAACCTCCCACGAGCTTACCCAGGTCACACGACACTTACCTGTGAGGCCCGGCCTCCAAAGATGGATAACGAGTCACTCCCCTCTCATATAAGTCCTCCTGACCCCTAGCTACCACTACACGAAGTGTCCTAGCATGACTAAGAGGGCCTTCCTACACCCCTGTTGCAAAGCCGGATCCCTTGTCGATGCCTCAAGACCAAAGTAGCAACTTGCAGCAATCCGATGCAGATATGGCAGCCTCCGATCAAGTCTCCCTCTTGAGGGGAAGCCCAAAAGTCACTCAATGTCTTCCTGAAGTCCAGATTCCAGGTGCGAGTACCTCTCACTCTCTACTCCCTCTCACTTACTCCAAACAGCCTCCTTTGTGTCTCGCCACCTCATACATTCACTCAAGCAACCTGGTTGGGTCCAATGTCGACCCTACATGACCTAACCAGGTGGGGGCAGCATCCCCATACCTCGCTGCCCCACTTAACCCTAACTTGCAACCCTAATCCGAGATTAGGTTAGCCCTAACCTAATTCGGAATTAGGGTTAGGGTGACTAACACCTCTCGCCAGCAAGTAAGTCCGCTCCGATACCAATTGTTACAATCCTGGTCATTTCCCAAGTGCAAATTCACAATGAAAGACAATGCCACCCAATTGCGAAAGAAATGAACGCACTTGCAAAGAGATAAAGACTAGAGGAGAGGTAAAGAAGAAGAAGAAGAAGAAGAAGTACACCAGCAAGACCAATGACAATTCCCCCTTCTCTCTCCACCTTCCTCCTTCCTCCTCCTCTTTACCAATCTTATTCTTCTCTCAATAATAATAATAACAATGAATGGATGAACCAGAATCAATGTCCGAAGTTCCCCCTTACTGCTGACTCAACTCACAACAACAACAACAAGAAAGTCCACCATGGCCATGGCTTCCCTCCTTCATTCTCCTCTCTCATGCATAGGCCATGGCGGACTACCCGAGAGGCAGCTATGATGCTGCGCTGATGTCCCAAGACAACCCAAAGCAGCTATGCTGCTGCTTGACTTGGTCCGCTATGCCTGACTCTGCCTTGAGCTGCTCTGGTGCAGCGCTACCCCAACTGGGGCCTTCCAGATGCAGCGTCGAACAAGGTGATGAAGACGGTGCCACCATAGCCAGGTAAGTGCCCTACCACTCCTACCATGCCCCCTTCTTCCTCCTCCTCAAGCTGGGGTGCTCGCCATAGCCAGGCTGAGCCCCAGCGGACCTTCACCTCCAAGCAGCGCTGCTTCAGTCCAGCGCTGCGCTCCAGCAGCATGTCGCCAATCCTTGCATACCGCAAACGAGGAAGAGCTCTCCACTCTTCCTGAAGATATAGCGGCCTACCGGCCTCCTGGGCGGTGACTTCCTAGGCCAAGCGGCCTCCCAGCAACCGGTACCTCCTCCCTTTTGGAGGGAAACATCATTGCAGGCTCTGTTATTGTCCGCACAGGCCCTAGACCCGGGCTACTTGGACTGGTACCGGCCTACCTCTAACCTACCGCTACAGGGCCTCTAAGAATGCCAACTTTTTGTCTTCTTCTGCTCGGCCTACCTGCTACTTGAGTGTTTTTCCCCAGCTGCTCTAAGTGTCGTGGGCCTACTCCTCGCTACCGGCGTGTTTACCCCCCTGCAACCCTTCAAAGTCACGGCCACAGGTAAGTACCAACCGGGTGGGCCTTGCAACCAACAAGTACCCTTGCGGATCACACACACATACCCAACCAGCAAGCACTCAGACAGGCATGCAAACCAGCAGGCACGCAAACACACACAACCGGCAAGCACTCAGACAGGCATGCAAACCAGCAGGCACACATACACACAGACTTGGGACCACAGCAGAATGCGGGAATCACAGCAAGGCATTCATTCCATTGGCAAATCCCAGAAATCAGCAGTGTTCCCAGTCAGTGTTTTTGGCGGGTTATTACACCTGTGTTGTTTATAAGCACACCTTCCGACGCAACATGCTGCGACGCGGTCGTACAAGCCACGCGATAGAAACACAACACACACAGACACTCGCGCGTGCACACATACACACACACGCACACACACACACAAACACCCCCACACACACCCGCGCGCACACACAAATGCACACACATTCTCTTTCTCTCTCTCTCTCTCTCTCTCTCTCTCTCTCTCTCTCTCTCTCACAGTCGCTCGGTCACTTGCTTGCGCACGGGCGCAAAGAGAGAGAAGGAGAGAGGAAGAGGGTGTGCACACACGGCCGTGTGTGTGTGTGTGTGCTTTTTTTATTTTATTTTAAAGCAATCAATCAATCAATCAACCAAGTTGAACCAACCAATCAATAATCAATCAATCAATCAATCAATCAATCAACCAATCAATAATCACTTTGTATTTTTTTTTTTAATGGCACCGACCCAAAGAAAAAAAGAAGTTTTTATTTTTTTATTTTTTTTGTTGGGGCCAGGGGGGGGGGGGGTACCCCTCTACTCCAGCAACCCCCCCCGCCGTCGGATTTTGAAGGCCCCCCTGCGAAGGCCCTGGAAGGGGTACGTACTGTCGTACATACGACCTATACATCGGCCAAGGGCTGTACATATGGCCCCTCCGGACGTAGGGGCGTGCCGTATCCTTACTACAGGCAGACGTAGCGCTACGCTTCTCTCCAGTTCACTCCACTCTTCTCCACTCCACTGCCTCCACTCCACTCCACTCCACTCCACATCACTTCAATCTTCTCTACTTTACTCCACTCCACACCACGCCACTCGACTCTAATCCACTCCACTCGACTCCACTCTACTCTACTCCACTCCACTCGATTCTACTCTAGTCCACTCTACTCAACTCCACTTTACTGCACTCTAATCTACTCCACTTCATTCTACTCCACTCCACTCTACTCTACTCCACTCCACTATCCTCCACTCCACTCCACTCTATTCCACTCAACTCCACTCCGCTCCACTCGACTCGACTACACTCTACTCTACTCCACTACACTCCACTCCACTTCACTCCACTGTACTCCACTCCACTCTACTATATTCCACTCTACTCCACTCTACTCGACTCTACTCCACTCCACTCTACTCCACTCGACTCTACTCTACTCTACTCTACTCTACTCTACTCTCTTTCACTTTAAGCTTCCCTACTCTTCTCTGCTCTACTCTTCTCTACTCCGCTTCCCTATGCTACTCTTCACTACACTTCTCTACCATACGATTCCCTGCTCTGCTCTTCTCTGCTCTTCTCTTCTCTGCTCTTCTCTTCTCTTCTCTGTTTTGCTCTACTCTGCTCTACACAACTCTCCTCTACTCTGTTATGATATGCTTTTCTCTGATCTACACTTCTCCATTCTGCTCTGCTCTACTCTACTCCGCTGTACAATACTCCACTCTGCTCTCCTCTACTCCACTCTCCTCTACTCCACTCTCCTCCACTCTCCTCCATTACTCCACTCTCCACCACTCTCCTCCACTCTCCTCCACTCTCCTCCACTCTCCACTCTCCTCCACTCTCCTCCACTCTCCTCCACTCCACTCCGCTACACTCTACTCCATTCCACTCCACTCTACTCCACTCTACTCCACTCCATTCTATCTACTCTACTCTCCTCCACTCCACTTTGCTCCTCTCCACTTTGCTCCTCTCCACTTTTCTACACTCTACTCCACTCCACTCTGCTCTACTCCACTCTCCTCCACTCCACTCCACTCCTCCACTCTACTCTCCTCCACTCCCCTCCACTCCCCTCCACTCCATTCCACTCCACTCCATTCCACTGAACTCCACTCCGGTTCACTGTACTCTACTCTACTCTACTCTACTCCAATTTACTCTAATCTACTCCACTCGACTCTACTCTACTCCACCCTACTCTAATCTATTCCACTCGGCTCTACTCTACTCGACTTTGCTCTACTCTACACTACTCTCCTTCACTTTATGCTACTTTACTCTACTCTACTTTGCTTTACGCTACTCCATTCTACTCTAAATTACTCTGCTCTGCTCTACTGCTCCTCACTAGTCCAGTCTGCTTTGTTCTACTCCACTCTCCTCCACTCCACTCTCCTCCACTCCACTCTCCTCCCCTTCGCTTTACTCGACTCCACTCCACTCTACTCCACTCCACTCCACTCCACTCTATTCCACTCTACTCCACTCTACTCCATTCCACTCCACTCTACTCCACTCCACTCCACTCCACTCAACTCTACACCACTCCACTTTACTCCACTCTACTCCACTCCACTCCACTTCACTCCATTCCACTTCACTCTACTCTATTCTCATCCACTCTACGCCTCCCTATTCTTCTCTATTCTACTCTTCTCTACTCTTATTTTCTCTACGATTCTCTTCCTTATGCTTCTCTCCACTCCACTCCACTCCACTTTCCTCCACTCCATTATCTTGCATTCCACTCCACTCGACTATACTCTATGCTACTCTCCTCCACTCAACCCATCCCTACTGAACGCATCCCTACTCTTCTGAGTTTTCTCTACTCTACTCATCTCTTCCCTACGCTTCTGTTTCCTATCCTTTCTCTACTATACAGTTCCCTATGCTTCATTTCCGTACGCGTCTCTACTCCACACTTCCCTGCTCTACGATGCCCTGCATTGATCTTCTCTTCTCTGGTCTGGTTTGCTCTACACTACTCAACTCTACTCTGCTCTACATTCCTCCACTCTCCTCTGCTCTACTCCACTCTCCTCCACTCAACTCTCCTCCATTACACTCTCCTCCACTCCACTCCCCTCCACTCCACGTCACTCCTCTCCACTCCAATCCACTCTACTTCACCCCACTTCACTCTACCCTACTCTACTCTCCTCCACTCCACTCTCCTCCACTCTACTTCACTTCACTCCACTCCACTCTACTCCACTCCACTCCACTCTACTCCACTCCACTCCACTCAACTCCACTCCACTCAACTTCACTCCTCACCACTCCCCTCCAAGCTACTCTACTCTACTCCACTCGACTCTACTTACTTGACTCTACTCGACTATACTCTACTTTACTCTACTGAACTCTATATTATGTTACTCTACTTTACTCTACTCTATTCTACTCTAAACTACTGTGCCCTGCTCTC